GTGTTGGAAACCAGACTGATGCTCTGCGAACTAATTCTGAACCTTTCTAGCACGATATACAGTTGCATTATTGTCCATGAAGTATCCATTGCCATCAAGGTAAAAACGCAAAATTGCTGGATGCACTTGATCTACCAGTATATCTAGGTATTTCATGGCTTTTTGTTTACCCTCGAGGAACTCCCCAGGGCTCTACTTTTATGCCAACAGAACATGCCCAAAATCATGATACTCCCACCAGACTCTTGCACAGTGCGAGTAAGGCAAGATGGATTCACAGCTTCGTGGAATTCTCACCAAATTCGATATTTTCCATAAGTGCAAAATAAAGTGTAGCGTGATTCATTCGACCACATTACCCGTTTCCAATCTTCAAATATCCAATGTCTTCTTTCCCGACACCGAACCAAACGAATTTTTGCATTTTGAGCGGATATGAATGGTTTTCTCACAGGCACTTACTATGCATTCCTATCCTCCGTAATTCCTTGTGCATGGCTCGAGCTGAAATCTGTTGGGAATAGCCTTGGTTGACGCTTTGTATCAGTTGAAGTTTAATAGTCCCTGTTCTGCCGTACAATTTCCGTGGGTGCCGATTCCATCAGCATCCAGATAAATGTTCAAGATTAGTGACCTCTAAATACTTTGTTTATGCAATTCTCCTAATTGCAATAGGTAAGTCGTGTTTATGCTTGTATGTGTAACCTTTCAGTATGGACATATTATATCTGCACCACAAGTCACATCCCATGGGGCATAAACCGTGTCATAGATTCAAATCTGTGAACATTTTATCAAAAAATATAACCCAAATAGCTTGCCTTATGGCTGACAAATTTTTCCGAGTTGTTTTGAACAGCCAAAACCTATAGTATCTTTACAATTTGTTTATTTCTGCATCTGTCAAGCCATTACAGCATCCTAGAGATTTTTTGTCTTTAAGCTTTTTGTCTTTTAATTTTGATTTTAAGGCCCTCAGTCATGTCCCCATCATTTTCTCAACTTGATCAACACATTCTAATTTTTCAATATTGACATATCTTTAGATTCTAAAACTGCTTTGTATGATTTAGAGTCCCCATATAGTCCAAATATTGTGTATATCGTAAATTGTGTAATGTCTGCGAGCGATGAGGGATACAAAAAAAGTGCACCTCTTCAACTTCCATTCCTCTATTATTTTCAATGTAACTTGCCGAACACTCATAGCTATGCACATCGCTGTTAAAATTACATGAGCATTTCTGCAATAATATTTTAGCATCAACAACTTTCCCAGTGTCCAAACTAACTGCCGTGACAACACCATTTAGAAATGTATAGCTTCTTTTTAGCCAGGTACCATTGATAGCCACTGGTACATTTGGCTATCCACTATTAAATGATATTGTTTCGGCAGCAGCTAAAGCCATAGACACTTTGGTTACTTTCTCTGTCACATTATTTAATGTATGCATGGAATCACAAAACCACTATGGTGTAAGTGACAAATGCATAACTGCGCAAAATATTTTTGCAACTGCTTCTGCTAAATATACCTCATAGCATTTGAAATTCTATTGTCCCATTCATATAATTTTGTATCTTTTTTGATTAACTACTGTTTTAGTAAACCTGGTATTAAGAAATGTTTGAATAAGACCACAAAAGTCACAAAATATTAGCAATTTTGTATCCAAACCCTAGATTTGGCGACCAAAATTCATGTGAATACCTTGGTTTTTGCATTAGTTTTATGTAATTAATGTTGTTTCAAAGCACAAAAGAACAGTACAATATCAGGAATTTCACAGAAACATTCAAATGAATCTTTAAAAGAAACATACTCTTTATTAAACTTACCTAACTTAGATTTTAAAGCTGATTTATTTATGTTGAACTTATGTTGAACTGACTGTTATATATATCAACATTTAATTTCACGAAAGTTTGGATTTTTGTACATTTTTTTCCCAAACTCTTTCGTTTTTTAAACATTTTATTACTTAACAGAGTTTAAAAAACGTGTTTTAAACGTTTTATTAATGTTTTTGATGGAAAACACTATTGCACACGATAGCAGAAATTCGTTGCATTTAATGAGGTAAAAAATAGGCTGTAAGTAAACAAACATCTAAAACTATTCACTTCACTTCTTTTCTGAATAAGTTGCTGATCAAAATAAATTCTTTTAATCAATTTAAACCATTTGATAAGGCTGAAAAGTAGCATGTGTTTTTTTTGATTTGAGACGGCGTGGCAATCAGCGGTTTTGGGGTTTGACAGATGTAAACAACTTTTTAAAAAAAATATTAAAAATACTTATAATTCAGCTAGAGCAAAAATTTAAACTGCATAAGAAAGAAAAAGAATGGTATTTTATGTTTCAATCAAAATTGAAAAATCGATTTTTTTCATGGATTTTCGTGAAGTGACCCTCTTAAGAACATTTTTTACATGACTTCTTTTTAGAACCCAGTGAGATTTGCTGTATTCGAAATCAAGGCTTTTGTTAAACAGGCACGAACAATAAGCTATTTTCAAATGGTGAAAAATCTGCCGTTTTACCCACTTTACTCCATTCATTGTGAAAAAGCACTTTTACACCTTATTTATATTAGCATTCTAACTTCATGTAAACCCCGTCATGAAATAAATCTGCTTAGTTCATCCCCCTAGCATGCATTAAAATGTAAATCTCAAATGTTGTGTAGTCAAAGCGAGTGGGTAGCGGCTCTAGTAGTATAGGTTGTTATTTTTAGAGGTATAGAACTTTAAATTGCAATAAAACAACGATGTATTATTCTATTGACATGAATTTTTTTTTATTCGAAAAATAATCTTGTGGCATTACATTTTAAATATGATCAAGCAAGGCGTAAATTCGTCGAATGGGCTGAAAACGAGATTGCCGTTGTTCCCGATTTTCATAAGCGAATTTTGTTTAGCGATGAAGCGCACTTCTGGTTGAATGGCTACGTCAACAAACAAAACTGCCGCATTTGAAGTGAAGCTAATCCACAAGGGTATATCAAACACCGTTACATCAGAAAAATTGACTGTTTGGTGTGCTTTATGGGCTGGTGGAATCATTGGTCCGTATTTCTTCAAAAACGATGAAAGCCACAACGTTACAGTCAATGGTGATCGGTATAGAGCCATGATTACTAACTTTTTCATTCCTGAATTGAACAATCATGATGTCCAGGAGCTGGGGTTCCAACAAGACGGCGCAACATGTCACACAGCTCGTGCCACAATCGATTTATTGAAAGACACGTTTGGTGACCACCTAATTTCACGTTTTGGACCTGTGAATTGGCCTCCAAGATCATGTGATTTAACACCGCTAGACTATTTTCTGTGGGGCTATGTAAAGTCATTGGTCTATGCGGATAAGCCACAAACGCTTGACCATTTGGAAGACAACATTCGCCGTGTTATTGCCGATATACGGCCCGGCCACAAATGTTGGAAAAAATCATCGAAAATTGGACGTCCAGATTGGACTCCATCCGAGCCAGCCGTGGCAGTCCTATGCCAGAAATCCTATTTAAAATGTAATGCCACTAGATTATCTTTCGAATAAAAAAAATTCATGTCAATCGAATAATACATCGTTGTTTTATTGCAATTTAAAGTTCTATACCTCTAAAAAAAACACCCTATATAAAAATATATATTTAATATCAAAACTATTGAGTGAAGATAAAAATTAAAAGGATCAACAAAACGACGTCGTTCATAAATGATTGAATGAACCATTTATGAAGTTGTACTTCAAAGCAACACAAAGGTTTATGACAATGAACATCATAATTTTGAACCGAGATCAAGTGACGAGGCTGATACTTAAGCTGGTTCTCCACTCTCCAAACTTCCTTACCACCCCAATATGAGAGTCTTGAGTATCAATATATACAAAATGCATCTTTCATTTACACGAGGGGTTTGTAGGGGCATTACGACTGGAACCAATAACTTGACAGATATAACACGGACAACGAGTTTACGATAGCCACATTTCATTAATAAAAGAACCATTAAAAGAAGCCGAAAACGGCATCGTTGCAATATACGTATTAAAGACTTTACGGTAAAGGTAATGATGTTGATTCTTTTGAATTAATAATTGCATTTTAAAATCTATAGACTATTGTATTTATTAGTTTATAACTAAATGCCTATGAAAGAGATAGATGTTTCTATCAAATTCTGTTCACTCCGATTTTAGACAGTATTTTTAAATGATTTTTTTAAAACTGAAAATTTACTAAACAAATCACCAGAATATATCAAAAGACACTTTTGACACAATACAAGACAAGAATCTTCCTGACCTTGTATTCTTTCTACTGCGTATTCAAATGCGTACTGTAGTCTAAATTCGAGAAGATAATTATAAAGAGAGAAAATAGAGAACCAGTGGCGCACACAAGGGGGTGTCCAGACCCCCCCCCAAAGCCCTTGATTTTTTTCCGATTGATTATAATTCTATGTACATAGTACGTAAAATTTAATTAAGTATTTGTTATTAATGATTAATTTTATTAATTAATGCTAATTATTTATTAAATAATTAGTTTTTTACTGTGTTTTCTTCCCGAAAATCGACAAAATCAAAAGGAGCATGATACAAGAATTGTGAACTTTCGACCCCAGACCTCCCCCTTGAAAAATTTCTGTGTGCGCTACTGTAGAGAACTACACATTCACAAAATGAAAAAAAAAAAATGGTAATTAAATTGTTGTAAATTAATATTTTTTACAAATACAGAATTTTATTTACTTATTCAATTCCTACTATTAGTTCACAATCTCCCTATATACATATACCTTTTTCAAATTTTCAATCCTTAATAAAATACTTACTATTCATCCATTCAAGTTCAAATACATTTTTTAAACTTGTATTGGATGACACTTTCCGCTAATGCAGTCTTTTCAAATATTAATTCATTAGTTAAACTTAATTAATGAATAAAAAAAGTAACCATACATAAAAAGGAAAATCGCTTGTTGTCCCTGTAGCTCAATGGATAGCGCGCTGGACTTCTAATCCAGAGGGGGGTGGGTTCGAATCCTACCTGGGATGGCCTGATTTCTGAGATTATGATTGAATAAATAGTAACAAACAAAAATAATATTCCAACACCATCTATAGAAAGGAAAATCGCTTTCTATTTTGCCACTTAATATTGTGATAATTCCACTAATATAACATACATATTATATTAATTGTAATTATTTGATAAAAAGTAACTAAAATAAAATTTTTCTTTGTTGACCTAAGTAGGAATTGACTTTAATTTAATTTATATATATATATATATATATATATATATATATTACTTGTTTAATATATAAATTTCGATTTGTATTGTTAGTTTATCGTTAAAATTTATGCAGATAATAGAAATTTTATAGCTTGTAAAATTTTCCCAATAAAAGTTTTATTTTCTCTGGATTTTTTTCTTGTTACATTCCATGACGTTTTATTCCGAATCGATTGAACTCCAGCCTTGTATTGTTACTGAAACTATTTCCCACAGCCTTTTACTGAAACTAATGTTGCGCAGACATTGCACATTCACATGCAGTGCACGATTCCTAAACACCACAATACATGAAGAAAAAAAATCTTTTTTTTCTTCTGTTTTGCTTGCACTTATTTTTATTCTTGTCGGAAACAATAAGAAAGTCTTAAATTACGAAAGCACTCCGAAACTTATCGAAACTTGTCGGATTACAGTCTTACAGCCATGTTATCCTCTGTGTGCAACCCCCTACCGCGACAAAGTAAACAAGTAGAATTTCTGCTTGTCATACGAAGCAAAAAGAAAATCTATAATCGGACCTTTGGGATTCGTAATCCGTAGTTTATGGCGTCTATCCGCCATCGCTGTTATTCCAGTTGCGGTTAAAAACGCGGAATTTCGAAATATGTACTTCGAACTTTTCGCAATATTGTTGAACAAAAAAAAAAGAAAAGCAACTCTCCTCCATCCAGATGGCAACATGTTTATGCATTTATATGTTTTCATCAAGTCACTTTAGAAAAAAAAAAACGTCTCTGAAAATATTTCTTGGAGAATAATACACATGAAAGCATGTTTTGGAATTTTATAAATGAAATAACAGTGCTATACGTCTCGGTTTAGTTTCTTGAGCATTTTCTGGTTATTTGTTTCTTATCAACTCAAAAGATTTGTTGCACGCGGTCAGTGAACCCCGTATGTTTGTATTAGCTGTGTTGAGACCCTCCCATTCTCAAGCCCTCCAAAATAAGGGTTTGAGGGACATAGTAAAATGTTTCAGTGCTGGGTTTTGTTGGCAATGACGGAGCCAAACCAATTATCTATACTCGGCCAATGAGTCTACATGAATCTCAGAGTTTGATTTGATTTTATTAAATATTTTCCGATTGCCCATTTATATTAAGTTTGAAGATCAGCTCAGATTTGAATGGCTGCTTTACGTTAAACGGGACTGGTCCTCACAGGGTGTGGGAACAAAGAGAATGTAGAACCATCACAGATGTAGTCCCAATTTCTTAACCCAGGGATGTCCAACCCAAATGACCTTGCGGGCCAGTCCGGAAAAACATTATTATCTCGCGGGCTGCACTTAAAAATATGTACCTTCATATCAGATTTGGAAACAAAAAAACATTTATTGGAGTGAAAATTTAAAACAGAATGAATATTAGTATGGTTTGCATTATTTTTCATGTATACAGGCATAAATAATATGATAATGTTTATATAATATAATGCAATGATCAAATAATGTTTAAAATATTACAGTGTGTGTTGCCATTTTCTTGAAAATTACGGTGTTCCTTTTGAATTGATCTTTCGTTACTCATTGTTGAAATTCGATAGTGCTGTTATTCGCAAACGATTAAGTATGCATTGTCCTTTATCTTTAACGTCCAGAATATTTTTTTTTTACGTTTTGAAAACATCTGACTGTCTCTTGCTTTTTGGGCACTCCAAACAGAAAAGGAGGAGGAGAAACGAAAGTCGCACGCATAGAGAATCATGTATCATCCATAGTAAAGGATATGCATAAAGCAATTCGAAATTTGTTAAAAAAGTAATTTACTATCGTAAAATAAACTGTAACTGTTTGATAAAATATAAATCTATTTTAATCTAAAGGACATTTCTATTATCAAAAAGGATTTATTTTAAAACAAGAACAGGTAACAGGCGAATACATTGTAAATATATATATGTGTGTGTGTGTGTTTGTGTGTGTTTTTGTGTGTAAATTTCTCCTCAAATAAATTTCAAAATGAAAAAACTTTAAAAATCTGATAATTAAAAAATTTTAAAAAAGAGTCGGAGCCCCCCTTCCCTCCGCAACTTACGCACTGGTGGACCACATGTTGGACAGCCCTGCCTTAACCATTCTTAGAATTAGAAAATCCGTGCACAATTCCCCGTATGTGCAGTGACGTAATGTATACCCCCCATTGCGAGGTGGCCCAGGATTCTAGGGTACCTTAAGTCTCACTGACGCCAAATACATACCCTTTTTTAACATGACAACAGAAAAATTCTCAGCCGTGACATGTTTAACTTATGTTAATACCGTAGCTTTATTTTAATTTACTTCACATTCTAAAGCAACATGTTATATTACGTTATTACGTGAATTGCGTTATATTTCTTTGCCTATGCTTACCAACGATTTAAAAATTTGAACACGCAAGAAAACCAAAGAAATTGTTGGCATATATTTTATTCAAGTTATACAGTTTCTTAAAAATCTTTTTCGGTCCGACACAGGGTCTGAAAACCCCATCCAGATGATAAAGCTGGTTTCCACAAGGCAACTTTTTGCAAGTCAACTTGTATTCTGTCACCATTCCTGTAGTGAAAGAGGTGAGAGAATTCCTTATACACGTGGACACAAAACTGATTGAAAAGGGAATGCCAGACTCCGAAGAAGCAAGAAAAACATTTTAAGTACATAAATAGTCGCGAGTGAAGAGCCTAGCATTCACATTATCCTTTTAGTTTAGTCATTTAGAGGGGAGGAAAACATGGTTTTGAGTGCTTGAGATGCCTTGTTGACCACGTATGAAGGGACCTAAGCGATTTCTGTTCAATACTAGCTCCTGTAACGTTTGAAAGAATAACGGTAGCGTATGCTTGGTTAATTTAAATATTGAATTTATTTACGTCACAACTATTGAATATTATTTACTGAATTTATACATTGAAGCTATTAAACTTAATTAAAGATCGTTAGAGTTCAATAATTTGTGAGAGGAGGAATCTTTTGGCCACCGCTCCCGAGTAAGTTCAAAGCATCTCTCCTTCATCCTCCGGTCGGCGGGGTTCGATTCCTCGGTATACAAAAAAGGGGTTGCGAGGTCGGCCACGTCGCAACCTTTTATCTGCAGCTGTAAGATGCACGTGTGAGTGTCGGGTCCACCAAAGACGCCGATCCCCGTTGGGAGTTACGACGTTACACTTCCGATTATTATGTGCAGCACAAGTTAACTCGTATGAAAGTGTTCCAATTTAAACCACATTCTGAATAGAAGCTGTCACCCCCTATCTACCTCCACACCACGCCAACATAAGGACTTTGAGCCCCCATAGATTTTAAGTACATTCAGCTGCTCCGCATGACAGTTCTTCGATAAAAATCGAATTGTAGCATTCTTCTTGACTAATTATATCAATTAAAGCAATAATGATAATTGTATCAATTTTATAGTTATATATACAGTAATACCTTGCCTTACGCTACCCGAAAATCTCGTCAATTCATGGAAGATTATAATTACGGTAATTATGATTACGTGATTTTCAAATCTCGTCAATTCATGGAAGATTATAATTACGGTAATTATGATGGTTTTCTTTATTCCGTTGTTAAAATTTTGAGATTTAATATAGAATTCCTTTGTAAATATATATATATATATATATATATATATAAGCATAATTAACTATATGTTTTATCTTGGATTGAAATAGAATATTAACCATTATTATTTATTTATTTAAGAATTTTAAGAAATACACTTTTATTATTATTACTATTATTATTATTGAACTTACTTTGTACACAATATAGTGCAAATCATTTTACATTCTAAAGTAAATATTAGGACTTTTTTTATGTATAAAGCAGAGTTTCTCTCTCTTTTCTTTTTCTTAAAAGCTTATAAAATTATTAATATTTAGTTAATTTTTTCGACTTTAAAACTTTAGATACCATAACACTAAACGTAAAATTTAAGATTTCGACTCCTGTTTTCATTAAAGAATGAAATTTGCTAAATTAATTCCGAGAATAATAAGATAAAACTAGCAGATCTCTGACCCTAAAAGCATTCAAATTTCAGGCATCATTAAGAAGATCAATGTCTGAAGAGAGTTTTTGAAAGTAAACCTATAGAAAAACACTTTACAATGAGACAGGGAATATGTCATCTCAAATTTAATAAATATTATAGATAAAATTATTCAATAAAAAATTTAACGTTATGTGTAAAAATACATATAACCTTAAAATTAACACGCACTTTAAAGAAAAAGAATAGTAAAATGCAGAAATAATCTTGTTAGAGTTGGGTTGAAGTGTTTTTCTTTTTTAAATTTCTAATTCGGCTGCAGATTGATATTTCATCATTGCAGATCCAGTACTTTCCCCGGGAGCTGGTACCTCTTTCAAGTGCGGCACCTTATCGATGGATACTAATTACCTCAATGTAGCTTTGACGCCTAGTTTCCTCGCCAGAGAGGAGCCTGAGTTCTGACGATGCAAAACTGTACAAGGAATTAAATTTGGCCGAAAACACCTAAGCCAAACAGGCACTAAAGGGATCTTTAACATACCGTGTAATCATACGACACAGACGCTATCGATTTTCTGTATTATGAAAATCCACCTACTTGGGCAGGGATCGAACCCATGACCTTCGGCGTATAAGATTAGTGCCCAAAGCCGCTTTGTCCCAGTCGACAAAGGCTTGAAGTTTGTCGCTATAATGATGCAAAATAACTTCGTTTGCGCAATGGGCTCAATTCATGAAGTTACATGGTTAAAACAAACACGTATTTTCCATTG